GAATGACGACGGTGTGGGCTTGGAAATATAGACAAAGCTTCCGAGCTGCTATGACTAGTGCGTATGCCAGTTTCTCGATCTCTGGGTACCTTGTTTCGGCATTCTGCAAAACTTTTCTAACATAGTAGATAGGTCATTGAACCCGATCTACTTCCTTTATCAGTACCGAGCTGACTACTTCATCACTCGTGGAGAGGTACAACTTCAAAACATCTACCTCCTCGGGTCGGGTCAGAACCGGGATGCTAGCTAAGTATTTTTTTAGATCGTTGAAGGCGAGTTGGCATTCTTCGGTCCATTCGAAATCCTTACTTTTCTTAATTGCCTTGAAAAAAGGTAGGCAACGATCTACTGACTTGGACATGAAGCGGCTCAGAGCGGCTATACGACTGTTTAGCCTTTGAACCTCCTTCAATTTACGAGGTGGTTCATATCTAGGATTGCCTTTATTTTTTCAGGGTTGGCTTCGATGCCACGTCGGTTAACTATGTAACCTAGGAATTTACCCGAGGTGACACCGAAGACACACTTGTTAGGGTTTAACATCATATTATACTTGTGCAAAATTTCAGAAACACAATTGGAATCATTTATTAAGCAATTTGAAAATTGGGTTTTGACGACCATGTCGTCTACATAGCACTCAACCTTGTTGCCGATCAACGGCTCAAAGATTCTGTTTACAAGTCTTTGGAAGGTCGCCCCGACATTTTTTAGTCCAAAGGGCAAGACATTGTAACAGTACAATCCTAGTTCGGTTATGAATGCCGTTTTTTCCTGGTCGGCAGGGTCCATCTTGATCTGATTATATCCTGAGTACGCGTCCAGAAAACTCAGCAACTCGTGCCCTAAGGTCACGTCCACTAGATGGTCAATCTTAGGGAGTGGGAAACAATCCTTCAGGCAAGCCCGATTCAGGTCGGTATAATCGACGCACATGCGCCATTTACCGTTGGCATTTTTTACCAGAATAGGCCTATCTCGGGTAATGGACCTCCCTGATGAAATTGGCTGCGGGGAGCTTCCCGACCTCCTCGTCAACTATTCTCCAGCGCTTCGGGGCGAGGTTGCGTTTCTTCTGTCTAACGGGCCTGACAAAAGGATCAGTATTTAACTTATGTTATTATCTTAGCATCTATACCGGGCATCTTCACTACGGACCATGCGAATATATCTAAATTTTTAATTAAAAACTTACCAGTTGAGAACGGAGAGGTTCCTCGACCGATGCACCAATCTGGAGAGTTCTAGCTGGATCTTCTGTTGAAACAAGGACGTGGATGGTCTCTTCTGTTGGTGTAGCTCGCTCCTAGGTGTACTTCGTAGGTCGCTCTAGCTCGAGGTCATCTGCTATCTTGGCTTTCCCTTCGAGGGCGGCGACATAGCATTTGCAAGATTCGAACTGGTCGCCTCGCGCTACCCCTACTCTGAAATCCGTGGGGAACTTCATAGCCAAATAGTAGGTGGATACCACTACGCGAAGTGCGTGGGTGATGGGTCGACCTACAATGGCATTGTATAGGCAGGGGAGTCGCGACCACTAGGAAAGTGTGCTCGAATCTCGCGATATTAGGCCACGTGCCGACCTCCACAGGTACTGAAATTCGCCTTAGGGGCCTGACTTCTTCTTTGCTGAAGCCTACCAGAGGAGTACTTGTGGGCTTGATGTCGCTTTCGTCGAGCTGGAGCTTGTCAAAGGCGTCCTTGAATAAGATGTCAGCCAAGCTCCCTAAATCCACTAGGACGCACTTAACTTCAAAATCGTTGATCCTCATCTTTATGACTAGCGCGTCATCATAGGGGTATTGAATCCCGTGCGCGTAGTCTTCTGTGAAGAATATGGGGTCTTCGAGCCTTGGTCACCGAGGTCTTCCCCGCTGCCAAGGTGCAGCTCGCGACAATAGACCCACCTATAATCATGTTGATTACTCCGTGGATCGGTCTTTCTTCGGGAAGCTATCTCTATTCACTCTGTAGACTGCTGGACTCAGGAGCATCTCTCCTTTGCTCCCCCTTCCGATTTGTCTGGTTTTTATGATCTTTTTGTACAAAATTTTTCAAGTATCCGCGACGGATGAGTTCTTCAATCTCGTCGTGGAAGTTTCTACAATTTTCGGTACTGTGACCTTGATCTCTATGAAAATGACAGTATACATTTTTGTTTCTAGTGGCGGGATCTCCCCTCAACCAAGGTGGCCACTTCACATAAGAGGTGTCCTTGATCGCCATGAGAATCTCTCCCTGCTTCGCGTTGAGGGGCATGTAGCTCGTTCTTTCAACTGAAGGAGTTCGGGAACGCTGATCTGACTTGTTCCCTCCCCTAGTTGGTGACTTGCTCTTTCTTCACTTGTTGTCCCCATTGTTCGAGGTGTCACCTTCTCGTTTCCTCTTCTTCGCTGGGTTCTCTTTCTGGTTCATCTTCTCTTCTATCCCGATGAACTGAACAGTGAGCTTGAGAAACTCGGTGATATCTTTGGGCTTGTTGGCTACCACGTGCCACTTGAACTCCCTATGAGTGATACCTCTCTTCGCTGCCGTGAGTCTTATAGCGGGATCCAGATCGGGAATTTGTAGACAAGTGTCATTGAAGCGTTTGATGTAACTTCAAATCGACTCTCCTTCCCTCTGGACTATGTTGAGGAGGCTTTCTTGTGACCTCGGGCACTTCTTGCTGGTGATGAAGTGCGAGGTGAACATCTGCACGAACTGCGCCCAACTCTTGATCGTCCCTGGCGCGAGGTTCTTGTACCACGTGCGAGCTACTCCTTTGAAGGTCGTAGAGAAGGCAATGCACATGCAAGATTCATCAGCCTCAGCTAAGTGCATCTGGGAGTGGAAGGAGTCTACATGATCATTTGGGTCGAATGACCCATGATACTTATCAAGCTGAGGTACTTTGAAGTCCTTCAGCATCGGGGTAGCCAGGAGCTCGGAGGACAAAGGAGATGGCACGGAGAGGAGAGGAGCGGTCTTCGTGGCTTTTGAGCTTGCCTCCTCTTTGCCTTTAGGTTGTTCGGGCTGACTAGGTCCGGCGAGTTGGCTTGGAACTGTAGCTCGGTGTGCCTAACGACGCCGCTTCTTCGGCTTCTTGACTAGTTCTACATTTGTGCTGCTAACTTCGGTGTGATCGGGTATGGTGCGCACACTAGGTAATTCGAACTGCTGGTTCTGGCTGCTGTGGATGGAGAGACCTCGTCTGGAGTCCACGGCCAGAACCCCGAACTGATTCCCCACGAGCGGACCTTCTTGACGTGATGGCCTAGGTGAAACGGCCCTGGCGGGCTGAGTGTCTCCCAATTTGTTAATGTTCTCCGAAGCAGGAGTAATCTGTCTGTCCCTCCTGCCTCGAGATGAGACTTGGCTCCCAAGGGGATGTGGAACCTGGGAAGTTTGTCCTCGGTAAGGAGGGTGAGTGTTCTGATGACAGGATCTGCTTTCTTGTGGGGCCGGATTCCGAGGTGGAACCGGTTGTTGATTTTGCGGTAGTGGAGGGAACTGTTGCTGATATTGCTGCTGGTAAAAGTGGTGCAGGACCTGCTGTTGGTATTGCTGGAATTGATGGACCTATTGCATTTGGACCTGAATAGTCCGCACGTAGTGTACCAGGTCATCAAGCTAATTCTGCCCGACTGCAGGGGGAATCACAGAGGGTTCAGTAAAGGTTGCACCCATTGTAGAAGGGAGTGGGACATTCACTGGTGCTATGACTCGAGGTATGTTCAATGTTGGAACCCCATCTGCCGAGAGAAGCACGGTGAACTGGCCGATGCACATGGCTGGGACCTGAGGTTGCCCCCTGAAGACGTTCATTTCAGCATTCTGTTTGGTGTTACTAGAGGATGCCATGGATGCTTTTCGAGGAAAGAGGCTTCTTGTAGCATTTCTCACAGACGACGCCAAATGATGTAGTGCAATCCGGCTGCTCCCAACTGGAGGTGATCTGGCTTCCAGTAGACGACAAACTCGGTTGATCTGCAAAAAGCAAATCAGAGAACCCGGGGTTGATTACCCGGCGAAGTCGTTCTGATGCTTAAGTTAATACTTAGTTGTGAGCTGATAATAGCTTAGAATGCAAGAGAGCTAGAGAGCAGAGATTACGCGTACATTTCACCCCCGGGGGGTGGAGCCTTTATATAGTGGAGCCTTTGCAGGTTTTGCGGAGCGGTTCTGGGATCCTCGTCACGATGAGGTCCGTTTCCGCGCTAATTGGGGATAACGTTGCCAACTGATGAGATTCATCACTTCCGCCCGAATCGGACGAGGGAGATAATGTTAGCTGTTACGAGACGTGATCCCGTGAGGCACGGAATTTGGTGGCAAGATCTTCGGAGTTGTCATGCAGTGGTCAGTCAGTATAAACCGAACTAGTGCCCTTTGGACCCGACCTGATACGAATGCCAAAGTGCCTTGTGACCGAGGTGGTCCTGATGTGATCGTGCACCGAGGTGAACTCGTCCCGAGGTGGGCTTGCCTCGAGATGGTTTGGTTATTCGAGCTCGATCCATTGTAGACTTGGTGCGTCGGACTGAGCTATCATCCTGCTAGTTAAGTCATATCCACATGTCCCCCTATTACTAGGTCGGGCCAAATCACCCTACATCATTAACTTTTCACATAACAAAGTCATTGCATTACACGGGTCCTGACTTGTGCTAATTAATAAAATCAAGATCATCTAAGGTATTTCAACGGTAGGCCATGTCACCAAAATTATGGCATGCCAACTTACCAAGGTGAACTTGCCCACATAACATTGTAGCCACATATGGAGAATATCTATCCTCCTACTACATAATATTATACAGGGGGAGATATTCCGCAGGAAATCCCACGTCTGAAATAGAAATCAGATTCAATCATTGCAAAATCCGTTCAAACACCCATAATAGCCTTGCATAGGGAATATCTCCCTATGAAATAAAAGCACAAAGGGAGGAGATGTTCCCGAGGTAAGGCTGTATTGGCTGTTTGAACGGTGTTTTAACGGGTCTTGCACCGACTGAAGCCGACTATTTTTATCATCTTATTGACAACTAACAAGATACAGGAATTCTGCAAAAGAAGAAAATTAAAAACAAAAAAAAAATGCATCGAGAATTCTGCAAAAAAAAAGAAAATTAAAAAAAATGCATTGGGCAACCTTTGATTGGTCATGGCTACAAAAAGCATCGCTTGTTTATTCTGTCATCTTCTAAACAATCTACACATCCCGTTTGTATTGGCTATAATGAAACATAATAGAGAAATATAAAACCTATACGGTCATGCACCTCTACTCACATTTTTTTCCCTAATTACAGGGCTCTATGCAGACCTTGCGGTCCCATAGAAGTTTGTTGTCACCGACACCAATTCAATTGTCGCTTCTTTTGTGTTTTTCCTTGCTTGTTGGCCTTTCCTCTTCAAAATTCTTGACTCTTCAGTATTCATCTCTGTGGTTGTAACGACAATTTAACTAACATCCAGAAAAAATAATGAATATTGTGGATATGAACCTTTGCAGGCTTTTTCTTTGTAATTTCATATTTACTTTTGTTGTCTCTTAAAGAAAGGTTTTTGGCAGAGAAGGAGCCTTTCATCACTGTTACTCTCGAGTTCTACCACCCGCGCATCCCATCTGAAACGGGTAGCAAGGGCTCTGGCAGATTCAATAAGAGGCACTGTGTCCCGAAGTATCACCCATCCCTGCATGGATCTCATTTTGTTAAGCATATCAAGGGCATGCAAGTAACCAAAAAAAACCTCAGCAACCTTAGATTCTGGACAGTTTATTAATTGGAAAAAAAATTGTAAATGACAGTCTGTATCGAACTGGTGATCTTAATTAATGTCATGTTAATAAGATACCATAGTCAAAAAAGAAACAGATTAGTATTCAAAATGAACATGGAGTAAAAACCAGGCAATGATAAACAAAAGGAAGGTTAAGTTTGGGAGTGCCTATTTCAAAAATAAATGTTCATGAGCATTTCATGAAAAAACACTTATTTCAAATAGTAGTAGTGTGAGTATTTTCAAGATGACGTGAAAGAACACTTATTCAATAAGCGCTTATTGAATAAGCATTTCAAAATAAGCTCGAATTGCTTCTCAAATAAGCACTTATTTTGGGCATATTTTCCAAATGCCAATAAGTGCTTATTGGTGTGGTTGTGGCCCAAAACAAGTGCTTATTCGAATAAGCACTTATTTTTAAGCACTCCTGAACTTCACCTAGGGAACAAGACTATTTTTAAGCCCCAAACATGCTGATTTTCAAATGATCAAGGTGGTGTCTTAAATTTTTTTTCATTAGTAAATTATTATCTGGTCCAAAATACTACTGATCCTCGAGGTAGCATCAACTTTGGGGCAGCCTAGGAATGTTCAGATTGGAGAGTCTATGCCAAAAGGAACATCTCTCAAGAAGGACTACTGCACCATATACTGAGTATATTAAAAACACGTCTGAATGCCTGTTTATATTATGATAATTCTACTATGCCTATTCATTATGCATGCACACATATATACTGAGTTCACACGCACATACCCCACTGTGCCAAAATATCCTCTTGGAAGTACTAAATATTTTCCATATCTTGAATTTTACGTATTTAAAAATCACCAATATACTGAGTTTCTAATATCATAGTTTTCCTTATAAAAGTGCTTTTTTTTTCTTTTTTTTTTCCTCCATTCTTTATACTAGCATAGGCATATTATGGTACACAAAAAAAGGCATGGCAGTGCCTACTTACACAGATGAAAACCTCAAGAGATGAGATGTTTGATTTTCTTTTCCTTTTTTATTTGGGGGGTGGGGGGTTTCAACTTTGACTGAATCTGGTGAGGTATTACATTTTCATCCCATTGTCTAAACTTAAACAATAAATAATTGAAGTCCCTCCGTGGCATCACTAATTTAAAGATACAAATGACTTCATGTGCACAGGGTCTTAGGCTCTTTGCAACAACAGCCTTGATTATTTAGGTGTTCGAAAATATGGTTGGCTACTTGGCTTTGTTTTTGTTTGCTGTTACTTAGGCTTAGTTTGTTGGCAGTACAAATTTGCACTGGTGTAAATGCATGGGAGTGCGAATAGGCTGAGATCAGATTTAACCCTGTCTTATTTGTTTGAGAGAAGTAAATGAAGTGGTCCCTACTTTATATGAAAGAGAATGGAGATGGGAGGAGGGTTAGTTGTTTGGGAGTGTGGCAGGAAGAAGATGATGTGGTCCCCTATTTATACGAGAGAGAATTGAGATCAGAGGAAAGTGGTGTAAATTTTGCATCAGTTTTTGGGATGCAAAATTTGCACTGCCAGTGGGTGCGACTGATACAAGAATTATAAATTTTGTGTCAGGTAGGAGTACACATCAGAATTACAAACAAATAGAAGCAAAACTGAACCAGGTGCAAAAATTATATCTGTTCAGATTTGCACCACAAACAAAGAGAGCACATGCCTAGGCAATACCTTTTGCAAAAGAACATAACCAGCAAAAAAAGAAACTCCACATGGTAATAAATCACATAACAGTAGAGGCATAATTAAGAAAGGTACCTCTGGGCGAAGAAGCCTATCCATCTCAGTGAATAAATCAAGCATAGTGCACCTATGCTGCTGGCCAGTTTCAAGTGAAAGAAGTCCTTCAGCATGCACCATATCGTAAGTTCTAGGGTATGTTGGAAATGCCTCACACCTGGAATAAAGATATCACTAATTTTAAAAGAGAATCTTAGATAAAGCATGTAAAGTACATATCATTATAATGATCTTTGGAAATAAGATATATTGTATAGGAGAAATTTTATTGGCTTGTTATACATCCTCAATGAACCAACCATGCCAAGGCACCGAGCTACCAGCTTACTTATCAGTTGAACTGAACAATTGGTAGATCATCGCCCAACAACAAGATCAAAAGACTGATTTTTATTCTATGTTGCAACATTATGTTATATTCTTACCTTATTATTCACATCCAAGTTTGACATCTAGATGAGAATGCTAAGGTCTCTCATCATAACAATCTCAGGCCTTGTCCTATCTAAGCCAAGGTCCACTTAGTGAACAGCATATTCTAGATTGCAGGTTGACTGGCCATGTCAATTATAACAGTTGTGGCTCGTTGAGAATAATTGGCTTTACCCCATTATATATGTTCTCAAACAGTAGCTAACTAACTAAACTTGCTTCCAGACAGAAGTTTGGCACAGGATATTGCAGAACAAGGATCGGCTGTATGATCCAAAAGTCTATACTCGAGGAAAAGGGGAACATAGATAGTTTATCAGTCGCATAACTTCTGCCAAAATAAATCAGTATGTAATCTGAATACTGGCAAACAAGTCTTTTGCCATACCCTGGGCCCACATCTTCTTGCTTGCTAAGGATTCAGTTCAATTCAAATAGTAGTTGGTCCTAAATAGTGAATTGGAAAAACAGACAGCAGGGAGCAAATGAAGAATTGGAACACGGGGAAGATACATACCAGTCATGTAAGACACCAACAAATCCCCTATCAAGGATTAAAGGAAGGTAGTTTGGTCCGCTTGTAGGAACTACGTTCATGACCCAAACAGTTTTCCCACTTTCCAATAAAGCAGAATTAAAACCACCAAATCGAGCATTCATGTCTAGGACATTCCTTAACATGTTATAAGGTGGAGAAGGATCCTCATCACCAGGTCTCTTTGGATGATCTGAGAAGATCAGGGGTGAGAGAAGGGACCAGTAATTGCGAACTGCTGAGTTCCAGTTTATAGCATCATCAGCAAACTCTTCTGAATGTACCCCTGATTAAAATGAGAAATATTAAACAAATATACCATAGAAGAAAGAAATAAATTAATGGCCTTCATTCTCTATCAAATCCTGTGTGATCCAACAAGAACTGTGCAACAGGGTAATGGACAATAAAATTACCATGAACTTCAAGTTCTGTAGAGTTCAACTTGGCCCTTGATGGCCAGGTTGTTCGCCTTTCAATAGGAATCCATCTGTGGCTATGAGTTCCTCCAATGCAAGGTTGGAGAGGTCGATAATATGGAGTTTCAACATCTTGACCTTTACTGCAGATGGAAAGTCCAGAACCAGATTTCCTAGAAATCCATCATGTAATGTACAACTTGAAATTAGGAACCTAACCATGATAACATAATGAACACAATAAGTGGTTACTGTTAATTATATTCCAATATATAATATCAATGCCTCACCTAGAAGCATAACAATCTTTTTTACTTGTCTTCTTCCAGACAACAGTTTCCTCTTGTTGTGACAACATGTCCCAGCAGAGATTTTCTGCAAAATTGTGAACAACTGTCCATTTCTTTTGATTCTCTTTGTTACGAAGAGATTGAGCATTGGTAATAGGTGAAGTCCAAACGAAGTATCCACCAGGTCTCAAAACTCTATCCACTTCAACCAACAAAATACCATCTGCATTATATAATTAGGAAAAAGAAAAGCTTAGTAAACTACAATGTTGCCAAATCCAGTTTACACAAAAAGACAAAAAGGAATATGATGGGGAAGAAGAAAGCAACATGTTAGCCAAGTATTGATTACCAAGTGGATCTGCCACCATGGGAGTAAGCTCATTGGAAATACCAAAAAAAAGGGGAATAAAAACTGAAGCTAATGAATGCCCAAAAGACTTTTTTTAGTAAAACCAAAAGACACTATTGAAGGACATAACTCTATGGAACAGTGAAACCATGACAACTCAAGTTAAAATTTTAGAAACTTAAAAAAAAAGTTCCAAAAGCATTGTATTAAATACAAATTAGCCAACATAGACACAATTATTCACCTGTTCTTTTCATTTTTACATTTATTCTTCATGTTGACAAAAAACATGAGCTTGGCATCTGACCATGAAAATGCATCTCAATCCAAATAAACCAATGAGTTCTAGCCCACAATACCAATATGTTAGAACATAATCAAAAACAGGGAAAAAATCCTCTATTATGTAAGCTCCAAAGATGGAAACGGTTGGTCTAATCCCATTTGAAGCAAGGGCATGGGATTCAAAGAAGTGTAGTAATATCACACTGATTATTTCATATAATAAAGATAAGATTGGGGAGTTCCTAGATCAGCCAGTTTGACTATTCTTGGGCTTTCTAGAGGCAAGATCTTGAAGACAATTTTATTGGAGGATTTTCACCCCTATTAGCACTATTTATTTATATCCTGTAATTGGGAGCTGCTGCTCTAGTTCTTAAATGGAGGTTAAGGACCTTAAAGCATAGTTTTTCACATTTCTTACTGTATCTTTGATGCAAATGCAAATTCAGGAGACAATTAACAAGTCAAAGAAATATAACAAGAAGAAGAATATGACAGCTTGACTGGGATTTAATGACAACCAGTTCCAGATTTTGTGGTCTATTATGTAGCCTGTACCTGATCATCTAACCATTAGTTTGGATGTGGATTTTAGATATGATGGTTCTACTAGTTCCTTACCCTGTAAAATTTCAGATTAACTGGAGAAGCAAGGTGTCATTCATCACCTTTGACCAGGGAAGCCATTGTGGCACTTTGCCCAAGCTATGGTAGTGCCTTTTAGTTGGGTCTAATAAGGTCCAAAAGATTCCTCTCTTGAAGTTAGGGCCAGTTTAGGAATCTCAAGAAAATGGCATCCCTGTGCACGATGTCCCTCCAGTGCAGGCTCCAGGGAGGGACAGATGATCGCAGCCTTACCCCAGCACATACAGAGGCTGTTTCCAAGATTTGGACCCTTGTAATGGATTTGAGCATCTAGTTCACTAAGGTTTAAATTGTCTGAAGGTCCAGTATAAGTTTTATGCATCTCATGTTTTAGAGGGTTTTTAAGAGTCTTATACATAGTAAGTACTATGGTAATGGAAGTTTCTTAATAGAATATTAAGTGAACAAAGGGTATTTTTTTTTTCTGAATCATGTGAACAAGAATACAGATATTTTTTTGATCAATAACAAAAATACAGATATTAACTAGAACAATGGAGAATAAATATCACCAATATTATTTTTAAATCACTTGTACCAATACCAAATTTATTTTGGAATCACTTGTACCAATACTCATCTTAGTTTGATGTTTTTTCTTGAACATCAATGACCATAAGGCTTAAGCCTCACATTATTACATATCAAAAGATCCTTGTGACTTGGAGACAAATTTTTGAAGAACTAAGGTATTGGATTAAAATAACCAGAACATAAACAGCATAACCTGTGCACAGCGAGGACCTGAACAACTGGGGCTACACAAAACAACTATTGATCACCAATCTGTCCACCCAACTCAAATGTCAATTACATTAAGAGAACAGATAATCAGTACTGAAGAACTTAGTATAGAATGCACCCCGAAACAATCTGAGTTGAAGATAATCATAACTGCTGTAACAGTGTTACGGAAATATGTGTTTTCATGTTTTTTGTGTGATTCTGATAGCTCCTGGGGTCTGGGAACATGGCCCATGTACAGGTCTGGGCCCTCCATAGCATGCCACCTATTCCATTTTTCAAGAGTCAGGGCCAACCACCAAAAGGATCCGAATTAAAACTCCGGCAGTACCATAAATCAGTTTAATCAGATGAATATCAATCATCTCACTGGGGTATTATTTATAGCAATGATTATTAAATAAAAAAACTTTTTCAATGGTACATTTAAAAGCTTTATTATCAAAGGGATGGAACCTTCTGTACAAGCTTATTTTTGGCCCAGCTTATCTTCAAAGTAGGATCCTCTGATGGTGGGTTTAATCTCAAAAAATGGGACACATAATGAGTTACAAGGGCCAAAACCTGTAATATGGGTTCCATTTCACCAGATCCATCTTTAGCCATATTATTATATAAAATATTAAAAACAAATATACTGTCCAAAAGCTAAAACATTTAAACATGTCAAAATCATGTCTTTTATAATTTTGCTGCCATAAGTATAGAATATAGATGATGCTAAATAAATACCTTTGTCATCCCAGTCAATGCCACATCGTGCACAATGCACCATATCGAAGGAAAGAGAAGGATATGGCAATTGTTTAGATTTAAAAGAACCAATCATAGCAGGAAGACCTCTTTCTAGAGTCAGTTGAACTTGACTCCCAGATGCTTCATAGTTTGCAATGCACATTGTCAAGAGTTGTTTTGAGAAGAGATGGGCTCCAAAACTACCATAGCCGCAACCTATATCCAAGACGGTTCTAACCTGAAAAGAGTTGGAAGTGCAAATTAATATTAATGGATCCCTGTTTTATATAAAGGAACCAAAGAACCAGTCTTAGTTGTGTAAAGACAAGATCAGAATTGCTAGAGGAAGGTCAAAAATACATTATAACCATGCAGAAGACATGTCCTTTATTGTGAAAGTGCCAAAGCCCAAAAAGGCAATTTGAGCAAAGCAAGGTGGTGTGATCAAACCAACACTAAATCCAGGTTCAATTTCAATTTGACTTCAACTCAATCATATGGAACGGGACAACAATGCCAGTAACAGAAATACCTACCAAAGGATCAAAAGTAAATTTAAGCAGAGAACTCTTAAGCTTACTCCCAAGAGATCTCTTGCGTGTCAAAGTTATATTTAGTGCATTCCCTCTTCTTTTGATAATCCAAATAAAGACAAATAATGAGAAGAACAATCAACAAGCAGAAGTAACCACACATACGCATATCAAATTGAAAAGTTGTAAAAATTAGCAAGGCTAGAGAAATAATAAGGCAGAAGCAACAATTAGCAGACCCAGAAACCTCTGACTTAAGCAAATTCTCACTTACCCCAGCCTGAATGAAATTAGATTCATTTCTCAGCCCAATCATTTCGGCAATTTGATGGGAGTAATCTTCAACCCCATCAAACATAATAGAATCTGAACGAAAAGATATTTGATCTTCCTCCAACATCATCATCCTGCAACCATATGGAGAGGATGTATAAAATACATGTGACAAAGAACTCGCTGAAACAAAGTTGGTTAAAGAGGAAGAAAGTTTCTCAACACCTCTTTGTCAAGCTTCCAGAAGAAAGAACCTCTTGAGCTGTAATTTTCACATTCGAGACCCAGATAACATCTCTTCCAGTAGGCCACCTTAGTGGAACTCTGTAATTCCTAGGCGGGAAAACTAAACAGTTCTGCTTCGACCCATGCTCACATTGACGGTCATACTCATTGCCTTCAGTGTAACCCAATTCAAGATTCTGAGAAATGTTGAAACACGGAACATGGTTCTCGGACTCTTCAGAACAGTAGTCCATCTCTTTCAATCTTGCAGCACCTAGAGAGAGATCTCCAATGTCGGAAAGGTCGGAAATGAGCTGCTCTTGTAGTTTCCTATAACCCTTGAAGATGTAACCTCTCGAGGATGTAGAGATGGAGATTGTCCACCAAAGGGATCCAAAAAGAGCAAGAATAACAATCAAAACTAAACTGAATCTAAGAAATAGCAATATTAGGTTGTGCCGACTTCTGGAACTGCTCATGTTAAAGGGGTCGGATCCAAAACCACTATCGCTGAGAACTGATTTGGAAGAAGAATTTTCCGGGAAAATCAAATTAACAAGAAAACGGAGGGATAGAGAGTTGTGATCAGAAGTAGAGCGATTCCTATCCACGTCATCCTTCTCTGTTCTGGGACTTTTGGATTTCATCTGAGAGTCCCAGGAGTCACGGTTGCTTTCTGCGAACCGTCCACCACCGGATATACTATTGCGGTGAAGCGGTCGCGACATTCCGAATACCTGGAAAAGATAACCAGATAAACAATAAGGAGCCAAACCCAAAAAGATTTTTTCACGGTAAGAGCGGGAAGGAAAGAAACAAGGGAGAGAAGAAAGGGTATAGCAGGATAAGATCTACAAGCAATATTTGCGGACCGGATCCAAAAACCCAGTAAAAGTAAAACAAATTTTAATCGAAAATAACTATCTTGCTAATAGATGGAGAAACATGCTGAGCGTCAGTGCTCGTAAATCACATGTAAGGAATAGGAAGAGAAGGAAGAATCCAGATTCAGAAAACCAAGAACTGAGAAAGAATATATAGAAAATAGACCATTTAAAAGGTCCCGGGGATTACCATTACCTCAACAGGATCAGGTTTGCAAATGGATAGTCAAGTTGAAGTTCGGTTCAGCGTATAAGTATTCTCGGGACTGAGAAACTAGAAACCCAGTATACAGATCAAAAAACCCATCACCAGATCAATTGACTAACAGAGAAGCCCGACTTTACTATTAAAAGGTTCAAAGTGCGCACTAGAAATTCTTTTCTTTTTAAAAGAAACAAAATTAAGGGAACGGCATGGGTTTCCTAAACCAACCAACCAACAGGAGGCCAAGGAAGAGCCGTGTTTAGACCTAAGATCAAATACATCCAAAGCGAACAAAACCTAACTGAGAGAGAGAGAACCTGAATTCTAGAGTCTTAAGTTGCGGATTTCATGCAAATCTTAAGGCACAGCCTGGACGACTTGCAAATCTTAAAGCACAGCCTGGACGACTTAAGTGAGAACTGAGAAGTGAGAACACAACGCAGCTCTGAAGTACGAACTTGTTTGTGCTCTAAACGTCACTTTCTCCCTATTGCACTTCCCTACCTGCATAATAGATGATGGAGCTCGTGATAACTATTAGTTGCATCAAATTCTATCTTGTCTATCTATCTATCTATCTAGGTAATAAATGAATGAATATACGATACTGTAAATCACTCACTTCACCAGGAGTCCGAGGAGTTTCCTAGTAAACACGCTACCATTGACCATCCCATCCCGAGTCATTGAAACCAACTCTAACAGTAATTCTTAATTGCTTTGATTAATGCCATCAATAACAATTATTTATTTAACAATTCACGATAATGACTTTTATCCGACTTTCATCGAGCAGTTAAGATCTCCCTCTGCTCTGCGTAGACTATTTGAAGTTTCAACCCACTCGTGATTAGGTGTCTGAATGGAGATTTTTCGCAAATAATAACAGATCTACCTTTTATAAGTTAATAGTTTAATAGAAATCGAGGATTATAAGGCTCCAGACCCTCCAGTTAGATCTGCACGACCGCCGGAACCGACCTGTCGTCCATTTGATGCAAGATCAAATAGATCTCTTTTGGCTAATTTAAACCCGATAGTGCTAACCCAGATTAAAACGCTAAGATCAGTCATCAAATTGTTATGATTAAAGAGTGAATCGAGAGCCAAAAGCAAAGAAGATCGATAAGCGATTGATTGTGAAAACCACCACTTTTCAGTTTTAAAACCTAAAACATATACAGGACTGAAGACAGAATTTCAACTGTAACCAGTGAAACTAGTGATTGTAATCATTCATTCCAAGGACCGAATCAATCCTTCCTTTTGTTTTCGTATTTTCTTTTTTTTTTCCCTACTTTTTCAGTTTTTTAATCTAATTTGTTTAATAGAATACACATCCACACAGAACCGACAAAGATCCAAAGAGGAGAATCATGCTATTTTATTTTTACCCCATTTCAACTCTTGCTTCTGGTAATCCCTTCACGACAACGTTTCGAATAACTCCAATCGTCCAGACGGCAGAGAGAGGGAGAACACAAGTCGATCGAGACGGCGAAAGGCGCCAAATTTAGAGGAAATATTAAATTGATTTTCAGTTTGAGACCGTACTGTTTATGTCTGAATTCACATGATGAAAAAAGAGAGATGGGATCTGCTCTTCACAGGCGGCTCACAGGTACATTCCAAAAACATCTCTCCTAAATAATAATACATAAATACGGAAAAATTTATATATCGGAAAAAAATAAAATTCGCTCCTTTAACGAAGGATGCAAGCGCCCTACAGAGCCTCCTACTGATGGACACGTAACCAACATCTATCAAAGTTGAAAATTTATTTTTCAAAGCTGACTGAGAACGGCTTACGTGTTCACAATTAAAGTGCTGGAGAAGAGCGTGAGTATTCGGGTCTTCCATCTATGCCATTACCATCGCTGAGCGAGAGTGAAGCTGTGAGTGTGAGGGGTCCACTCACCACTGTGTCTGTGTGTGTCGGTGGACCATGCCGGAAACGTATCGGGCCAAAACGCAAGTGTGAATAGTGAAAAGCGGAGCCGGAATTCGACGAGGGTCACGGGATGGAATCCATGCAGCTGAGCTGGAGCGTATCTAGCAGTCAGTCTAGCTTTTGACAAAAGAGTGGGCCAAAGCAATAATCAAAACCTATCTGTATCCCGTTCTGACTAAAGAAACGAAATAAAGAAAAAAATATTATTATTTTCGCTGTTACATATTCCTCCTGCTTTTTTAATTTTTTTCACGCTTGAACGTTGACAATTACCGTAGTTAATATAGAAATTAGAAATACTCGTTTACTAAATGTTAATAAGTTTACTAATGATCTATTTATAGGTAAATGAATGCGCCGCTGATTAGGTAGTTGGCAAAGTGGACTTGTTGAGTAACTTTTACCTGATTGATCCTGACCATCCATCTAGAGATCATCCGCCCCACAACGTCCCACAGCACAGCACATCCGCATCGTATATTGGGAACATCTCCCGATGATGATGACATTATCGATTCTGGTATTATCATCGGGAGATGCTCCCGATAGATGGCGTGGGGCGTTGTGGGGCGGAGATGTGAACTCATCCAAACGTAGTTTTGGGTGGTGGGCCGGTGGCAGAAGATGTAAAGGAGCGGGAACTAAAAAGCGTCCAGTCCAGAGAGAAACCTACATGCCATTGGGCCATATAGATTCTGGAAATTTTCTGGACATTGGAGTCCAGGTGGGTCCTCATCCAGTGACTCACGTAGAAAGTGTCACTTTCTGAATATTGGATATGGTGGCTATTGGCTAACTAAAACTAAAGCAGGTTTCCTCCTGGCTCCACATCCAATTTTGAATGTGTAAGAAAATCAAGTATTGATATCGCCAGTTCACACTTGTCATTGTTTTGAATTACTGGAAATCCAATAAATTTCTTCAATAAACCAATTGTTTGTGTGGATTTACAGTGATGCAGCAAGAAGTATTAATTTGTGGCTATAAAGAGAATCCATTTTTCTCCGTGGTCATTCTAGTCCTTGAATTGGCCCGTCATCTCACCGAAGTAAAACAAAATCATCATACCCAAAATTCTCTTCCCTGCTTACACGATATGACCCACCACACTCGCTAAAACTCCCTTTCTCTTGTACTCGTGAAGTTTACAGCAACAGAGATAGAGAGAGAGAGAGAAAAAAAAATAACACGTGAAAGTCATTTAAGTAGGCATGTGTAAGATATTGGGACATTATCTTAACGTACGCAAGGGGGGTGGTTACACTTACACAATTCTTTCCTTTTTGTCTCTTTGTAGGACAACCATAGTGAAGCGGGGTGGCTGGCTGTTCCTAGTTCCTACTGAATCGGCCATATGATCCTGTTTTTCTTTTGATTTAATTTTTCACTCGCTTCTTGTCCTCCTCCCTCGTCATTACTATGCAAAATTAAACCAAAACCAAGTAATATCTATTCATCTCTCTCTCTCAATTGATTCATGTGGCAGACGCGCTTTCAAAATTCAATTCTGCTTTATTCTCACATGTTTAATTATATTATTTTACTTCATAACTCGACCTACCTGCAAAATCTGCAATGCTATCCGCAGCGGGACCCGCCGGCCGCTGCTATGCGCTCACTGCTTAGTGCTTTGCTTTCCATCGAGCCCCTGATTGCGTTGACGACGACCTGTAATGAACATCGGGATTGCATTGAATTACAGCACTACCACCACCGGCATCCGCGCTGCTTCATCAACCGCGTTTTCAGGAATTGTAGTCGGTGGTTCTAATATAATTCTAAAAAAAAAAAAAAAAAAAAGGGAGATACGAGAGAGTCAGAGGCTTGGACCATGACCACTACTATGTATTGTTTTCCGGCTGCACGTTGCTAAGTCAAAACACGTCAACCCCCACCACATAAGTCCAATGACTCAGTCAGACCCCATCTCTCTGGATCCGGGTCGGCAGTACCAGACTCAACTGGATCCGGCCCAGTTCACCCGTAGTATGGCTTTTGGATTTTGGCTAGCTTTTGGCTAAACTGTCAAATTAATTAAGATTGAACTAATGGAATTTAAGTTGTAGCACATGACTAATGCTTTTTAGTTGAAGAAAGAATGGTTACAAGTTCGATATGGTTGAAGCCGGGCCCCATACATGATACACAATCGGAGCCAAAGCCCAAAGGCCGCATGTGGTGTGTTTGGATAACCATAGCTTTCATTGGAGACTATAAGCAGACCACCTCACCCCAGGTCACCCATTCTTCCTCCTTTTATCATAATAATAATCATAATCATGCATGTGACTTCCCTATCACTTGCTTATATGGTCCCCTTGTAATTCAATGTGCCGACACAACCCATAATAAACCAAACTTCCAACCATACCTAAATCAAACAAAACCAGTCACAGCAAGGAGTGGGAACAAAACAAATATTCAATGAACAGAGCAGTGTATACTGTACACTAAACAATGGAGATGTGTGGATATATAGATTTAATTTTCTAGACATAAGACATACATTATGCATGCATAAATTAAAATGACCATCAATCGATCATCTACAACTCTGGATTTTTTTCATAATTTTTTTGTGATCAGAAAATAAATTAAGGTTGCGTTTGGAAACAATGCAAATAGAATGTAAATCCCGATTCAAGATAAATATGTACTTTGGTTCATTTTTACCTGTATTTGACAACATTACATTTATGCATTGACAAATGACAGACCAATATAATTTACATTGACAATAAGATGTAAAAATACATCAATAAAAAATAAGTAAATTTGCATTTAAATGGGTTTTTGATAAAAAAAAGCCTATACTTTATTGGAATTTATGTCTGTATCCATTATAACTAAAAATCTATTTGATAAGAAAGTAAATTTGTCAATGCAAAATTAATCCAAATTTATAATATATATGAGCCATTTTACACTTTCCAAACACAGCATAAAGACATGGTGCAATATATACAACTCCTAGTGTCCAATTGACTTCAGTCTCATCAAGTAGAAATAGCGAAATCATGAGGACCACCAGTTTTACTCTCAGCAAGTACAAACCCATTATTGGATTAATATGATGATCCAACGGTTACACCATCCCATCAGATTAACATCTTCAAGTTTGGCATCTGGGTAATCTTTGCAGCATTTAGCTTATAAGTCTCTGCATAAATAAAATTTTAGGGAGTCATGTACTTTTATAACTTTTTCAATAATGAGAACATTTACCCAACCAAAGTTGTAAATGTCAGTGTCACAGAAAGACAATTAATTGAAGAAAAAAAAGCCAAGGACAGGTATATAATTAGAACATGCTTGGCATGGATGCATATATATATATATATATGAAGATATAAACATGTTTGGCATGGATGCATACATGGATGCATATATATATATATACAAAATCAATTAATAACACCAAACTTTACAGTTCAACTGATTATAAATAAGGTATAGCACATGAAAAACATAAACGGTCAGTCTGTGTGAGAATTTATACATTGTGATCAACATGAAGATATAAACCAATTGTAATTTACATTTACATGCAATGCAATTCACGAATGAATGGTAAAACAGGATTCGTATAGCCAATCCCATATAATTTCTTTTTTCTTTTTCTTTTTTTTTTAAATCTATACAGTCTATTTGGTTGGTGCGACCGAAAAGAGAAAATGAGAATATTCTTCTTAGATTTTCATTTTCATTTGTTTGTTTTATGAAACGGATTGAGAAATAGTGTGATGTTGTTTCCCAAAACTTGGAATGCGGGGTTGCACTAAAAGGAAACCACACACGTAGTGGCGTCTTTTGATTTCTTTTCCAGATCCTCCTCTCTTCGTATTTCCTCTCGCAT